TAATAAAAATAACAAAAATAACAAAAATGACAAAAACCCAAAATAACAAAAATAACAAAAATAACAAAAATAACAAAAAACCAAAATAACAAAAATAACAAAAATAACAAAAAACCAAAATAACCAAAATAACAGAAAACCAAAATAACAAAAATAACAAAAAACCCAAAATACTCCAAAATAACAAAAATAACAAAAATAACAAAAAACCAAAATACTCCAAAATAACAAAAATAACAAAAAACCTCAGTAACAAAAATAACAAAAAACGAAAATACTCCAAAATAACAAAACAACAAAAAACCAAAATAACAAAAATAACAAGAAAACAAAATACTCCAAAATAACAAAATAACAAAAATAACAAAAACCCAAAATAACAAAAATAACAAAATAACAAGAAACCAAAATAACAAAAATAACAAAAATAATAAAAATAACAAAAATAACAAAAAAACAAAATACTCCAAAAATAACAAAAATAAAAAAAAAATAACAAAAAAAACCCCCAAAATACTCCATTCTGCCAAATATCACTGACCTGCTGGTCTTTTCTTATTTACAAATTTTATCTTTTTTAAATTTTTATATATATATATATTTTTTTTTTTTTTAAATAATCACAAAAATCTGTGCTTATTTGGGGCAATTTGGGGCCGTTCCCTCTCCTCTTGTCCCTGTTCCCTGGGATGAGATCCCAAATCCCCCCCTCCTGTCAGGGGGTTGTGTAGAGCCACAAGGTCCCATTTTTCCCAATTTTTTCCCCTTTTCCAGTCTTTAGTCACCTTTTCCATGAAGAAATTCCCCAATATCCAAACCAAATATTCCCTGGTGTAATTTGGGGCCATTCCCTGTTCCTGTCCCCAGGATGAGATCCCAAATCCCCCCCTCCTATCAGGGAGTTGTGCAGAGCCACCTGATCCCATTTTTCCCAGTTTTTTTTCCCCTTTTCCAGTCTTTAATCACCTTTTCCATAAAAAATATTCCCCAATATCCAAATCAAACATTCCCTGGTGCAGTTTGGGGCCATTCCCTGTTCCTGGGATGAGATCCCAAATCCTCCCCTCCTATCAGGGAGCTGTGCAGAGCCACAAAGTCCCCCCTGATCCATATTATTCCCAGTTTTTTCCCCTTTTCCAGTGTTTAATCACCTTTTCCATGAAAAAATTCCCCAATATCCAAACCAAACATTCCTTGGTACAATTTGGGGCCATTCCCTGTTCCTGGGATGAGATCCCAAATCCCTCCCCTCCTGTCAGGGAGTTGTGCAGAGCCACCTAATCCCCATTTTTCCCAATTTTTTCCCCTTTTCCAGTCTTTAATCACCTTTTCCATAAAAAAATTCCCCAATATCCAAACCAAACATTCCCTGGTGCAATTTGGGGCCGTTCCCTGTTCCTGGGATGAGATCCCAAATCCACCCCGGCTGCCTCCTCCTGTGCAGAGCCACAAGGTCCCCCCTGATCCATATTTTTCCCAGTTTTCTCCCCTTTTACAGTCTTTAATCACCTTTTCCATGAAAAAATTCCCCAATATCCAAACCAAACATTCCCTGGTGCAATTTGGGGCTGTTCCCTGGGTTGAGATCCCAAATCCCCCCCGGCTGTTCCCTCCTATGCAGAGCCACAAAATCCCCCCAATCCCCTTTTTTTCCCCATTTTTTTCCTTTTTCCCAACTCCCTCACCCTCTCCCGGTTCTCCATCCTTTCCCAACTCCATTCCCAGATTTTTTTTTCCCCATTTTTAGCTCTCCTTTACCGAGGTTGGCGATGGTTCTCCTCAGGAAATCTCCGCTCACCGATGGGATTTGCACAAAATCGTCGGCGACGCAAACGGTGTCGAATTCCAAACCCTTGGCTTGGTGCACGGTGCCGAGGAGATAATCTGGATCCAGAAAATTTGGGAAAAACAGGAAAAAAAAGGATCAGTCCTGGCAGAGAGAAAACCGTAATTTTGAAAGTTGATTTCTTATGATTTTCCCACAATTTGGCTATTTTGGCTGATTAATTCAATTTCTAATTCCCCATGAATTGTTTTGCAATTAATTCATTAATTGTTTTGAAATTAATTAAATAATATATTTCAAAATTAATTATTTTTGAAATTAATTAATTTCAAAACGATTAATGAGGAAATAGAAATTGAATTCATGAATGGTTTCGAAATTAATTAATTAATTAATTTTGAAATTAATTCATTTTGAAATTAATTCATTTCAAAACAATTAATGAGGAAATAGAAATTGAATTTGTTAATTGTTTTGAAATTAATTAATTTTGAAATTAATTAATTTTGAAATCAATTTCACAACAATTCATGAGGAAATCAAAATGAAACCATCAAAAAGTGTTTTAATTTCCAGTGGAGCTCCAATCCCAAAAGCTCCCGTTTCCACCTCCTTTCACCCTAAAAAACGAGCGGATTTCCCGCCGGAGTGAGGAAATTCCAGGGAAATTCCCAAAAAAAAATAATCCCAAAAAATTCCATGGACCTGCCAGGGATTCCTGCTCCACGATGGAGATTTTCCCGTGGAGGTCGCGGTCGTCCGTGCGCTCCGAGAATTCCTTCAATCCCAAAAAAAAATGGGAATTCCTTCAATCCCAAAAGCTCCTGTTTACACCTCCATAAAAAACGAGGCTATTTCCCGCTGGAGCGAGAAAATTCCAAGGAAATTCCCAAAAAAAATAATTCCAAGAATTCCATGGACCTGCCAGGGATTCCTGCTCCACGATGGAGATTTTCCCCGGAGGTCGTGGTCGTTCGTGCGCTCTGAGAATTCCTTCAATCCCAAAAATCCCGAGGTTTCCACCTCCGTAAAAAACGAGGAAATTCCAAGGAAATTCCCAAAAAAAATAATCCCAAAAATTTCCAGGGACCTGCCAGGGATTCCTGCTCCATGATGGAGATTTTCCCCTGGAGGTCGCGCTCGTTCGCGCGCTCCGAGAATTCCTCCAATCCCAAAAGCTCCCGTTTCCACCTCCTTAAAAAACGAGCAAATTCCAAGGAAATTCCCAAAAAAAAAAAAATTCCAAGAATTCCATGGACCTGCCAGGGATTCCTGCTCCACGTGGTTGTCCCGGATGCTCCGCAGCAGCTGCGGGAGCCGCTCCCGATGTTTCTCCACGATGGAGATTTTCCCCTGGAGGTCGCGATCGTCCGCGCGCTCCGCGAATTCCTTCAATCCCAAAAATCCCGAGGATTCCTCCCATTTCCGGATGAACGGATCGTCGATCACCAGCTGGGCTGGAAGGGACCAAATGGGTTGGATATTTTTTTATTTTAATGTCAATTTCAATTTCTATTTCAATTTTAATTTTCATTTTAATTT